CACATCCATTTTACTCGGCATTTCGAGTCTTGTCGTGATGTCGTAGTCCAACACCCACCACCGCTGTTGAGCACTGTTGCTGCTTGCGGGGGTTGGGGGGGCACGATGACGTACTTTTAAGAGCACTCCCGTCTTGCTCGTTATTTGGCAGTGCTTTCGTGATGTCGTGGTCCAATACCAACGATGATGATGATGATGATGATGATGATGATGATGATGATGGGTTTGGGCGCCAGGTGGTTGGTAGGGGAGTGGCTAGTAGTAGTACAAGTAGGTTGTAGTTGCTGTTGTTGTTGTTGGGTTAATTATCAGTATTGGCCGCCGCAAGCCGATGTTGTTGTGCATGAGGTCTCCAAGCAGGTGCAGGTGTTGTCGGACCGGCTTGCCCACACGGAGGCGAAACAGAGCGCTGCAAGAAGACACTGCCATGTATTTTGGGAAACTCAGACGACTTCTCTACTTTTGCCTCCCTTGCACAGGCCCTGCTGGCAGAAGAGCGGAAGCGAAGCTTTCAAGGTGAGCTTCAGGCCGCGAGCGTTGAGAGAGGTGGCACATCCAAGCGAGGCAGCTTGTCCCTACTTCGTGGTAGTGCGTCGGCAGAAGCCGTCGCAGAACAACTTCGACCTGTTTCGGCTTCGCCACAACGCCCATCGATCCAAGTCCAAGTGGAGAACTGATCCACATTGTTCACTGCAGCCGCCACGACTTGCAAGAATTGCTCTTCAATCCTCGTCCCTGTGCTGCGCGGATCAAGTCGGTAAGTTGGTTCGGGCAGCGAGTTGCGATTTTTGTTTCACGCACAGAGCGCTTAGCGACGGCACGGAAAGATATTGGAAGGACTTGGAGTGAGGGGCGACCTCCCGCAGTCAGCTGGGGGTTGGAGCGATGTGAAGCGACAGACCCAAGATTCCCACATGCTTTTCCAATGCGACTGTCTGCATTTCTCAGCTGATTTTATCGTTGCTTGCTGGCTTGCTGCACACAACGAGAGACAGAGAGAGACCCCCTCAGCCGTTCCTAACGCGAACGGGTGGGCTCTGAAGCCCGGGGGCGCTGACCCGCCTCCATGCCCGGGAGACAGAGAGAGTCTCCTATGGTTATGGTTTAGCAGATGTGTTTTGGTGGAGGGGGTACTACGAGTTCAGTCGGGGGAACGCGTGCTTCTCTCAACCCCGAAAAAAACCGTACAGACTTTGAGACGCGCGGACTGTGGAGGGGGTTAGGCCCTCGGGCCAGGGTTCCCCCACAGCCCATACCCCTAAGCAAGCAAGCAAGCAAGAGAGAAGGTGAGGCCGAGGGGCGTTCGCCACCCCGCACATCTCAAACGGAGACCGCGTCGGGAACACCACTTCGCTCGCAGTGTTGTTGATCTGATTGCAGCGTTCGCCGATTTATCCTGCGAGTGGAACTTGGACTGAAGCTCGGGCGTTGCACCGCCGGGGCTGTCAGGTCGTTCACGGTTCTTACAAACCTGTTGGTTGTGACACCTGTTGTTGCAACCGCCTTCTCCCTTCGCAGCCTCGGCGACTCTTTCCATCTCTCTCTCTTGCTCTCTTTCTCCCTCTCCTCATCCGCTGAAGGGGCGGGGTTTCCCGCCTCTGTCGCTCACCGTGTGGGCTTCCTTCCTTCTCGGTCGGCGTGAGACTCAGCAGTGGACTCAATGGAGCTTCCAGGATAGGGCGTGGCGCGCTGCTGTGCGCTTCCTGTGTCTGCTGCAGAGGAAGAGGGCGGAGAGAGAAGGAAAGAGTGTGATATCGCTGCCGTTGGTAGCGAGTGAGATTGAGGGAGCTTGTTGAGAGCTTTCCAGCGAGGCGATACGGGTATTGCACAACTGCGACCACCGAATTGCAGAAGTTTGGGGCTGGCTGTTTGTATCGGTCCACGTCGACCGCAAGATACCATGTCCTCTGACTGCGGCCGAAGGTGTCGAAGGTTGACAGCACGCTTACAGACCCCCTGTTGGCCCAAACGTGCCAGGCTTCTCTAGCAGACCGGGTGCAAGCAGAGACTGCTGAGGTACAGCCATGCCCAGTGCAAGTACACATGCGTGGCTTCTTTCGGTTTAACTGTGGGTTCTTTGGTACGAAGGCTCCGCCTTGCGAACGGCATAGACATTGGGGGCGCTTGGACGCAACCACCGCGGGCAAATGTCGGGCAACATCTTCAGATAACAGTTGTCATTGCGGACGGGAGTGCAGCAAGAGCAAAAGGACATCGTTTAAATTGAGATGGCCAATTCTTCCTTGCACCCCGAATTGATTCAAGTACACCCACGGAGCAGCCGTCGGGTGCCAGTTGCCAGGAATTGCGACAGCAGCTCATCTCAGAGCAGAGCGCCAAGGTGTGCAAGCTTATTTTTGCGGAATGTTGTCAGTGGAGTTTTCCATGATGGTGGTTTCGGAGTGCGTGTGCTCAGTCGGCTGAATTAGTTGCCGCGACCAAAGGCATGCAGTCTGTGTGCTAGCAGATTGTTGGTTTTTCCATGTCAGGCGGAAGCAGAAAGACTACATGGGCTTGCGGAGGCCTGGCTTGCGTGTCTTGTGTGTCGTTCAGCTGCAGATTCTTGTGGGGTGATTTTGGTCATCGGACGTTCTGAGCCGGGATGTGTTTGAGGGCTGCGGGAGGAGTGATACAAGCAGGCAGCAGAAATCGCAAGAGCTTCAGGTGGAGCTGATCAAGCTGTCCCGCAAGCTCCAGCTAGCGGAGAGCCTTCTGCTCAGCAGTGGGGCACGGGAAGAAGGGCTTGCGGAAGCTCGAGTGCTTCAACGCAGCCGCACTCTCGCCAGTGCTCTCGCAACCCACAGCTGAGAGGTCCGTTGAGGAGGACTCCGCGCTTCGCCTTTAGGGCTGTAGGGCCATCGCTGCGAGTGGTCACGTGTCGCCAAGGTGACCTCGCGAGCACCCAGGCAGGATTTCAGTCCGTTCCAAGAGTATGGCACAACTGCGGCCACCGAATTGCAGAAGTTTGGGGCTGGCTGTTTGTATCGGTCCACGTCGACCCCAAGATACCATGTCCTCTGACCGCGGCCGAAGGTGTCGAAGGTTGACAGCACGCTTACAGACCCCCTGTTGGCCCAAACGTGCCAGGCTTCTCTAGCAGACCGGGTGCAAGCAGAGACTGCTGAGGTACAGCCATGCCCAGTGCAAGTACACATGCGTGGCTTCTTTCGGTTTAGTTTTAAAGGTTGGCCCCGAATGATGGCATGGACATGCAGTTGTTTTTCATTTCAATCGAATCTTCACTTTCGCCGTAGTCACAGTCATGAGCGCGAGAAGCACCCCCGTCCCCTCGCGTCCACGCTTCAAGCTTCGAGCCCGGCAGGTCGTCCACCAAGCCAAGTGCGCGCAAGCCAAGGCATCCAAGGCAAGGGAGCCATAAGCTTGCACGATGCTCTAGGAACTAGGACTCTAGGTGTGCAGTGGCCAGCAGACAGGCATGCAGTCTGCGGGTAGAAGTCCAGGAGGGGCCTTCTTTCACCGAGGCTGCGGACGTCGCTCTTCAGTTGGAGAAAGAGGTTCAGGAACGCCACTGGCAAGCTTCTCTTTCAACCGGATAGACATTGGGGGCGCTTGGACGCAACCACCGCGGGTAAATGTCGGGCAACATCTTCAGATAACAGTTGTCATTACGGACGGGAGTGCAGCAAGAGCAAAAGGCCATCGTTTAAATTGAGATGGCCAATTCTTCCTTGCACCCCGAATTGATTCAAGTACACCCACGGAGCAGCCGTCGGGTGCCAGTTGCCAGGAATTGCGACAGCAGCTCATCTCAGAGCAGAGCGCCAAGGTGTGCAAGCTTATTTTTGCGGAATGTTGTCAGTGGAGTTTTCCATGATGGTGGTTTCGGAGTGCGTGTGCTCAGTCGGCTGAATTAGTTGCCGCGACCAAAGGCATGCAGTCTGTGTGCTAGCAGATTGTTGGTTTTTCCATGTCAGGCGGAAGCAGAAAGACTACATGGGCTTGCGGAGGCCTGGCTTGCGTGTCTTGTGTGTCGTTCAGCTGCAGATTCTTGTGGGGTGATTTTGGTCATCGGACGTTCTGAGCCGGGATGTGTTTGAGGGCTGCGGGAGGAGTGATACAAGCAGGCAGCAGAAATCGCAAGAGCTTCAGGTGGAGCTGATCAAGCTGTCCCGCAAGCTCCAGCTAGCGGAGAGCCTTCTGCTCAGCAGTGGGGCACGGGAAGAAGGGCTTGCGGAAGCTCGAGTGCTTCAACGCAGCCGCACTCTCGCCAGTGCTCTCGCAACCCACAGCTGAGAGGTCCGTTGAGGAGGACTCCGCGCTTCGCCTATAGGGCTGTAGGGCCATCGCTGCGAGTGGTCACGCGTCGCCAAGGTGACCTCGCGAGCAGTCAGCTCCGCGAGGAGCAAGCCCAGAACGGCGAAGCGGAGGCGGCGGGCCGGCAGCGTACCTCCCACTGGTTGGCGGCCTGCTTTGTTCTGCCAGTTCGCACTGTAATGTGAATGCTTGCTTGCGTATGTGTTTGTGGATTTCTGGGGTTACAGGGTTTTGTGGTGCTTCCTTGTCTTATCCAGCGGTTCAGCCGGGCAAAATTGCAGGTGTATCTAGTTTGGAGACTGTCTTCCTTCAAAATACATGTACAGGACGCGCTTCTACATGCATGCCACAATAAACAGGTAGATTGCTGCTACCGTCTCATGATTACTCGTACATGGTCGCTGTAAGCCGTACAACTCCGCTTCTTCTGCGCATGAGTAACTACATACACAGCATTTGTTTGCGTGTCGTTCGTTTGTATGTTTGATTTGATTTGCTCGCGGCCGTTCCGAGTCATCTCACCGAGAACGAGGTCCCTTGAAGCCTCAGCACGCCAGACTGTCACTAACTCACAGAGTACTCCGAGGAACCTATACGGTGTGGAGACCACAGCACAACATGGACACCGCATCAGCGCAGACTATCCGTCATCGGGGCATGTGACGGCATGGAGCCATGTTGGCGGCTGGCCCAATGCTCGAATGGGAAACTCAGCAGCTGGCTCCATGGGCTCCGGAGCTCAGCTATGACCTTCACCGGCCTCAACTGCGTGGTTTTTTTTGTTTTCGCTGCTGCTCGAATCCGGAAAATCCCAATGCCCTCCGTTGTGGTGTGAGGGTTGTCACGATCAGGCACGGGGATGTGGCGAGGGATAGCTCCGTTAGCACAGGTACTACCATGGGCCTGTGCCCCCTGCATCAGTTCTTTATCAACTTCGAAATCACAGCTGCAACAGCTTTAAACTTAAAGCGGTACACGTCGGATGCGTGCGCAAAATGTCTCTTGAAACCTGGCTTGCCCCAAACCCCGATATTGTTTGCTGCCGAGAGACATTCCTAACCATGAAGGGGTTTTGTCCTAACCGCAAACATGTTCTGCTCTAACCTTGCCAATTTTTCTGTCTTAACCTTTGCATCGGATTTGTCCTAACCCTTGATCGGATTTCCCTTAGCCGCCTGCACGCATTGTCCTAATCGCGAAGAGTGGTAGTTGGTGCACTGCTTCACCAGCCGCGAACCGCTCAGCGGCAACATGAGTCCTCATATAAGCCCAAATCTCTTAAGCGCCGAAGCGCCTATATCCCTAGCCATCTGCATCGTATCCCCCCAACAAGCATGCGTCGTGTCTCCGCCAGGCCGCGTCGTATCCACCGCCAGCCGCGTCGTATCCCGCCCAAGCTGCGTCTTATCCCCGTATCTCCGCCAGGCGGCGTCGTATCCACCGCCAGCCGCGTCTTATCCCGCCCAAGCTGCGTCGTATCCCCCCAAGCGGCGTCGTATCTCCGCCAGGCCGCGCCGTCTCCCTCGCAAGGTGCGTCGTATCCCCCCCATCGTATCCCCCCACAAGCGGTGTCGTATCCCCCCCAGGCCGCGTCGTATCCCCCGTCGTATCCCCCCCAAGCCGCGTCGTATCCCCCCCAAGCCGCGTCTATCCCCCCCAGGCCGCGTCGTATCCCCCAGACCCGCATCTTCTGTGTCTTGAGCGGGTGCCTGTCAAATCGAGCGTTTGGATGGGGAACGGCCGGATGCCATGTGTGTGTTTGGGACACGGATCATGGGTGCCTGCTCTATTCCCAAGGCTGTCGCAACATTTCCATCGAATCGTTTTTTTTTGTGCGGCGATGCCATGACATATCGCGAGTCTTGGTGATTGACTCTAAGTTGTTGTGACGTTTTGGCATGTGATGTGACTTTCGCCGGTTCGAGCGTCACCATGCACTTGCAGAAGCCTAAAAAACTGCACCGCAGCACGCAGGTACGAGTGCATGCATCTCAGGGTCCGTTCTGATTCTTCAGCTGTCCCCGGAGGTGTGCACACTTGCAGAAAGGCTGCAAAAACGAACAGCAGCACGCAGGCTTTCACATGAGTTGTTCAGTCTTGGGAGACGGTGTGCGATGCGTGCGGTTAGGGACCAAAACCTGCACGCGGTTAGAAAAAAGAAGAGCGCGGTTAAGATGTCGTGTTTTCATCGTGGTTAAGAACTCATTCCGTTTGCTGCCCAGTCTCTGCACATTTCCCCAAACGAGCAGTCACATATGTTCCCCTTGTATCGTTGTTCGAAAACATGTTGAAAGCCATCAAGATTTGGTCAGATGCTCCTTTTGTCTCCTCGGGCTGAGGGATGTGTGCCCCGTATTCGTCCTCCCGAGCGTCTTGCCTTGCTGGGGCTTCGAGATGTGAATAGCCAGCTCTGCCTCCGGTTGCTCAAGCAGCGTCAAGCTTGTTGTCTTGCCGCGAACTATCGACCGAAGGAAGGACGTTGACAGGGCGTTGGTAGGCTCTGTGTAATCCGTTGGCCTGCGCACGTCTTTCATGTCGGTTGTCAGCCACGTATGTACCGAGATGCTGACTGATGTAAATGTAAGTTGTAATGTGTTGAAAAACCAGAGGGAAGCTTCAAAAGCCGTGGCAGAGACTCAGGTGATGCTTCAGCATTGGGCAGCGATGCGCTGAACGCATTGGTTGGTGCCCCGCCGAACAGAGTCAACCTGTTGGTTATACCAGGAACAGCGGCACAGAGGCACCGAGGCACGGATCAGCGGAGTGGTTGTGTCCAGTGTCTGATCGGCAAGAGACAAGGAGGGAGAGCGAGAAACTGAGACTTAGACATCACCTCTGTGGGCTATGTTCGGGTTTGGCCAAGGGTCTCGGCTTCCCCGGTCGCACCAGGCCTCAATCGTTCCCTGCCGCAATCGTTCCCTGCCGCAATGGTGCCTCAATCGTTCCCTAGCTCCATGGCCTTCCTTCGATATCCGAATCCCACAGGTCCGTCCATAATGTGGTGCTGGCTGAGAAAGTGCTCAACTGGGCGAAACGGGGACCACCTTGATTGGGCTGGTAGTGCAGTGATGGCAGGAAAGGGGAACGGCAATACAATTCGCTCACGCCACGAAGCAGGAGAAGTCCAGCTTAGGCATGCGGAACGAAAGACTGAGGCGAGCGTGCCCGCACTGGAGAACATCAGAAGGAATGACAAGGCGACATAAGACGACGAGTGACTGTAAGGGAGAAGTTCGGAATTGCAATGAAACCTCACCCGTTGGGCGAAATTGCCAAATCACCAGAGCTGTCTTTTTGTTGCATTCGACGCTGTTGTTGTGACTCTGCCCCGCCCCTCATCGAGTTGCCACACCGAATTCCAGAGAGTAAAGAACCAACAGGCATTGACGCCGTGCAAGTATATCTCGGCTTGGCATATTGCCACGTTGGACAAGCTTTCGGATAAGCTGATTATTGGGCGCGCTGCTCCAGTCTTCTATTATGTCGTTCGTTCCTAGAAACTGAATTCGCTCAGTCTTGTCTGCTCAAGGTGTGTGGAGGGATGAGCGGGGCTCGCGCTACGAGCTTGAGGTGCAAACGCCAGGCTCGGGACTCTGACATTTGCCAACTCAATGGTGATTGAAGCGCCGAAGCATGAAGATTTCGGCTGGTGCTCCAGTCACAAAGCTGCTGGAACGAACTGTCAGCGTGTAAACCGTCAAGTTCGAAGTGTGCACTGACTCCTTTCCCGAGACCCGCACGCCTGCCGAGGCAGAAGTTTGAATGTCACGACATATAGGCGCTGCCGATGCTTCTTGTGGGGTGTCGGCAAGTCATGCAGGCAGATGTGAATAGTCGATGCGCCGGGGTTCCGATAAGTGATCTTCCGCAACATAGTGCAAGGACACGTTTCGGAAAGCGGTACCGTCTTATGGTAGGCACACTCGTCACACTGCAACGTGCGGCAGCGAAACAGTTAGCTTTCCTTTGTTTCCCCGGCTGATGAGCCTGGGATGGCGCGTGAAGAGTGCTTCGAGAGGTTGCTGTGGGCCTGTTGAATCTAGGCAGGGTTAGAAGCGAAGCGAAAGGGACATCCTGCTTCATGACCGACTTGTGGAGCTGGGAATCTCAGCTTCACCTGGAGGCCTGATGGTGTTGTTAGAAGCACACCCGGTCTCATCCGCACCTGGGCAGAATCAGGTCAGAAAAGCAACTGCTTGACTGCTTGACGTTGCGTCTCTCGTTCTTGTGAACCGGCCGGGCGTGGCAGCAGAAGTTGCCCAACCTGAAAAGCTTTCGCTGCGAAGTCAGCCCGAGGTGTGGAAGTGGGACGTGACAATTCCGAGAGTGTGGTCTGGGGGCAAGGCAGCTTGGGCATGCAAGGCCTCTGCCTTCGCCATCGGTCTAAGTCTTCAGAACGGTGCCCGATAGTTTCAGAATAACCAGTGCTTCATATCCAGGCATAGCCACGCACGAGACGCCCAAATCCAAGGCTTCAAGCTGCAGCTGGAATCTAACACCTCCCAGTCGGCGCCTGACTCGGTTGTCTGGGTGGCAAAGGACCAATCGGTGTGCACGTGCAGGTAAATGTATGTGCGTATATATATATATATATGTATATATATATATATGTGTATGAGTCGCATTTCTCTATGGACCTGAATGCTCAAAGGGGAGGCTTGCTGGACCACTCCCCGCTCCCACTCTCCCTTCTCACTGTCAACGATTGGAGCCGCCACCTTAGCACTTGTTCCTTTGCAGGATGGCCGGAGGCGGCCTTTTTCCTGGGCCAGGATCTCACCACATCGAACAACAGTGCGCCTCACCCCAAAGGCAGAAAACGGGTAGATTCGGGTAGACATGGTGAAGTACCTTTCATCAAATTGGCAGCGGCTGGATTTCTGTTAGTTGCAAACTCAGATGTCGGGCTTGGCAGCGAAAATTCCATGAGTTTCGCACCGGCTTAATATACTGCGCTGTGCCTCCAGTGAAGGCATACCCACTTTTGGTAGGTGCATCAACATTCCACCTACTTCAGGTGAGGGGTACTTCGAAGCCGTTCAATTGAAGCGCTGCCTGGGGGCAGGCTTCTCTTAGTGATCCTGGAACTTCCACTTCTGGAACAAGGCGTGCCGGGGCCATGGCCGATTCACGAGAAGCAGTTGGATACCCGGCCTATTGTGAAGGACGGAGCCTTCCCCCGCGCTGCGGACTAAAGCCAAGGAAGCTTTATGCATGTCAGTTCCGGTAGGAAGACTTGAAGCTGAGTCGAATCGAACCTTCGCAGGCTCAGCCACCCAAAGCAGTGGAGGAGTCGAAGGCGGAGGCGGCCCTGTGCACTCTCCGAGCTTTCAAGTGCCAATCAGAAAAGCCTACCTTCCCGGACTAGGCCAAACCATCACAGGACGAGAAGGCGAAGAAGTGAGAGCCATGCATTCGGATCTAAAGGTGCCAGGCTGTCTTCCCAGCTTGTACGCAGGCAGCGCAGTCAACAGAGAAGTCGACATCGTCGCAGGAGCCTCCCAGCATGCGTGCTTCAATGTGCACAGTTGTTTGTTCAATGCAGATTGTGCATAAGCTGAAGATTTCCTTCATGGACTGTTCCCTGCTGGCTCCGGCAGGCCGAGGAAGCTGCTTGCAAGGAGCCATCTTTGAAGAAGGTGCGACAGGCAGAAGGCGAGACACAGCGAGCCGCTTCCATGTTCAGGCGAAGACCGCGGAATCGACATCGCTTGCATGCAAGACAGAGGCGGTCTGCAGCTGTGCCGTCAGCGTAATGAAGTGGGCAACGTGCTGCATCTGTACCATGGTCCTTCACAGCACGCCGCACCCTGCTGCGGTCTCACGCCCTCGAATCTCCAGGATGCCGCAGACAGTGGCGCGACGGGAAGTCAGGACAAGGTACCTTGCACTGCGGTAAATTCTGCATCTCAAACTTGCCCTCTATTTGCAGTTGGATTGGGAACCGTGCTTCGGCATGCGTTCGCATCGCTTTCATGTGCATCGGCCATTTGCTTGAACCGGCCCCACACTTACGCTTGTCAGCCTGCTCAGCCGAAGGCGGGCAGGCTCTGCAGTTTTGAATGTACAGTGTTTTGCTTCCATAGTTCTGAATGCCACATGGAGCGCTGGCGAAGTCTCTTACAAGAGTTAGCCGACGTGCTCGAAACAGAATTCGCCAAGTTGCAGAAACTGGAACGGCTCACAGAGGGCCTCGGAGCCGATTCAGGAGACACGGCCTTTGGAAGGGCTGTGACAGTCCCAGCAAAGCCATTGACACGGAAATGCTCGCCACACTCTTCAGAGGAGCAGGCCCAGGAAAGCTCCTGGGTTCTGGCAAAAGCACTCCCCTCACTGCCGTCCGTGGCGGCGGACGAAGATGACCTGAGCAATGCTGCGGTTGATGATGTAACGCGTTCGATCAAGTCGTTCGTGACACAGTCGTCGATGGGTTCCACAGCTTCGTCACAAAGAGGACGGTCAGAACGAACCCACTTCCGGGTTCTGCGGGCCACCAAGAGCTGTCATCGTTTGCAAAAGAAGCCATGGTACGTAATCAATCCGGATCAGAGTAAGTTTGCCAGCAGGTGGCAGGCTCTTGTGGCCTGTTGTCTGCTTTTCGTGGCTCTGGTGACTCCAGTGCAGGTAGCACTTCTCGAGCCAACCTTTGATTGGATTTTTCTTGCGGGCATGTTCGTGGACACAGTTTTCGCAGTGGACCTATTCTTACAATTCATCACGGCATACCCAGTAACCACACCGCAAGGAATCACATGGGAGATTCAAGCGTCCAAAATTCGGGGCCGCTACCTGAAGTCTTGGTTTGGCCTGGACATTTTGAGCATCCTGCCCTTCGATGTTTTGACGCTGGCCTTGGAAGCGAACGAACTCCGAGAGCTGCAGGCCTTGAAGGTAATTCGTGCCTTGCGCCTGATGAAGCCACCTGCCTTCAATGGGCGAGTGCAAGTAAGCAGGCAGGAAGTGTGTTGGGTGGGGTCAGGCAGGTTGGGTGGGCTGGCGTTTGGGGTGGGGTGAGTCCTCGACCTTGTAACTATTTAAGACCCAGGCTCCTGCGGCTTATGAAGACATCCAGGGCCCTCCAGGCGATGGAGGTGCCCCTCTCGATCCCCTACCAGCAGTTTGCGTTGATCCGCTTCGTCTTGATTCTCGGCTTCACTTGCCACGGCCTGGCATGTCGCAAGGCAGCGTCTGGCATCTTTAGCCGCCTGTTCTCTTGTGCTCGAGGCCGCTAGGACCTAGGCATGAGGCTTGCTGCAATAAGCTGTTTTGCCAGCTGCTACTGAGGTTTGTGGGCCATGACCTTGACGTTGGAGAACTCCACTTCTCCTCGCTGGATTGACTTGGTGCTGACAGGCCCAACAGGTTCCGCTGAAGCGTCGCCTTTCCAGATCTACGTAGCAGCTTTCTACTTTTGCGCCTTGGATCTGAAACAAACCCTAGCTGGGTGCATGCCTCCTGGCTTGTCGAGTAGCTTCCTGGTATTCGATGCTGCATCATGCGAGGCAGTTATACGATCACATCAGTCGGCTACGGCGACATCAGTCCTCAGAACAATCTGGAGCGCATGATCTGCACCGCTATCGTTCTGTTTTCTGGCCTGGCTTGGGCATACATCATTGGAGAGGTGGGCGCCATTGTAACTGACATGACCTCGGAGGGGCAGGATTTCCGGAGAACGATGCACCACTTGAATTCAATGATGAAAAGGCAAGGGCTCGGCTTTGACCTTCAGTGCCGCCTGCGCCGATACTTTCTCCAGAACAGGCATCAGGCGCTAACGCTCGAACGGCAGTCCCTTATGTCGAGGATGAGCCCGCAGCTCCAGTCTACATTTTGCATTGCGGTGAACCATCGATGGCTGCAGAAGGTGACATTCTTGCGTAAGTTCATGTTCTACATCAGAGAGCAAGTGCAGATCGGCTCCTACGTAGCACCTTATGAGGCATGCATGGCAGAGATTGCAAGGTGCTTAAAGCTGGGTGCATTTGCACAGCAGGAGACCTTCGACAATGTGCAAGTTCTCTACATCCTGTCTAAGGGTCTCGTGGTCTTGAACAGCAAACTCCGATCTGAAGGTGAGGTTTGGGGGGAGGATTTCGTCCTCGAGGACACCTCACTGATTCTACCGGTTGCAGGCTATGCCGTAACGTACCTCGAGACGCTCTCGCTGAACAGAGAGGACTTCATGAGTGTTATAGAAAGGAAGAGGTTTTCTTGCCCTCAACTCAAAAGAATGGTTCGACGGTACTGCGTCCGCATTGCCGTGTACCGAGGTATTCTAAGAGAGGCCCAAAGGCGTCGTTTACAGCCGAAGCCGAGCCCCTGCCTTTCAGAACCGCGTCGCCGTCAGATGGTCGCCGCAAGAATGCCAGAAATGGCCCCGACGTCGCCATCAGAAGCTCCAGCCCTACCTGGAGCTCCTGAGGAACTTCGTTGAGCGCGCTCCTGCCGCTGCCTTTCAATCGAAGATTTTTTCGCTCTCTAGTTACTAGTCTGCCGGGCCTTCTGATCATCGAGAAGTGCCAGAAGCAACCTCGGCCTGAGACACTTCAGCCGTCCCAGGCTGTCGTCGTCTGAGTTTCCGCAGTCGGCAGAATGCCTCCGGTTGTGCGCCCTTGCACCGGTTGAGGGCCGCCGTCTAAACAGAAACTCTCGACTCTCTTGAGTAAACTCTGTGGCCTGTGCTCTGCTTGGAGCTTCAACGGCAGTGAGCATAGAGAACCAGAGTCTGATCACAGTAGCTAGTGTGAATTCACATGTGCGCAAGCACTTTGAGAGGCCAGGCAAAGCAACGAGTGCCTTGGAGTCGTTGGATTGGAGCAAGGGTGGTCCCTGTAAGTTCTAAATGCATAAACGGCTGTTGGAGTGGCCATGTGGAGATGTTGCTGGAACAAGTCTAGACGCAAGGAGTCCAGTCCAGCCAGAAGAAGGACCGTAACGCACCTGGCTCAGGAATTATGTGCCATGAGTCAGACACAGTTGCAGGAGCTTCGTCGCAACCACTGGAGAAGGACAAGGCGAGGACGGACGAAGACAAGGACCTGGAGCAGTTTTCCATCATAATGTGTCTTCTGCCAGCAGATCTTCTCGGGACGCGATGGGGCCTCTAGGGCGGGCTTGTAATCCATGTCCAGGCCGACTCATTTGTCGGATTCTTGTTCTGCTGGTGTCTCATGGCTCGGTGTGGCCGCACGTGTAGTCAGCACCCTGGCAACTTTCAAGACACAGGAGGCTCTGGAAAAGGCAGAGAAGGCGAAACGTCGGGAAGAGAAGTCGGCCGCAGAAAAGTTTGCCACGCACAAGGCGGGGCAGATGGTTTTGGTAGGATGCTCAAGGCAAATGCAGAAACCACTTTTCTGTCAGGCCGCCGCATGGCGGGGAGTGCGGCTTGACTCAGGTTGGCAGTGCGGGGAGTGGCAAGTGCCAGGCTGCAGTCACACAGCAGCCCTTAATTCCAGTCTTTTGCCCGCATCTCCTAGCCTAGCGATCTCGACTTGAACATCGGGATCGTATATTCAGGGTGGAGTCTAGTCACTCTAGTCGATTTCTGGTCTCCAAGGCACTTGAAGTTCGAGAAAGCTCGGGCATCGCTGGAGAAGAGCCTCGAATGTGAAGCTGCTAAATCCCGTGGTCTTGATGTTTGGATATTTCGGGCAAGGTTGCATAATGTATCGTGTGATTTCTGGGGACACATCATGGCCCGAAGTTCATTGGAGACAACTACAAGCCATTAGGGGTGCCGATCGGCTGAAGTGGGAGGCTGAGTTCACACAAGCGAAGGCTCTCGAAGAGACCATGGTGAGTTTTACTGAGCTTGCTGGCAGAAAGCTGGAGGCGCACCTGAAGCGTACAGCACAGGCTGATGTTGATCAGCTTAGTGAGTTCCTCACGGGCTTGCCTTAGACTCCCCAAGCGAGAACCGTATGAGTCGGAGTCCATCTGCTCATGACGTTTGCCACTACGCAATAAAACAATCAAACAATTACAGGCCATTTGCTCTTTGCTGTTGTGACTGAACCTCAGGATCGACTTCGAAATTCGAGCTGCTGAGCGAAGCGTGGCGGAGAGGGCGAGGCCCTCAGAAAGCCCTGAAACTGTTTTTGGCCACAGCCTGAATTTGTTCAACGGTGTTTTGCCGTGGGTGATTGGTGCCACCGAGGGCGAAGACGAGGAATCTTCGAAGAAGAAAGTCAAGAATCTGAAGGAGGGCAAAGACATGAGCGAGGCCACGGACGACAGCTGCAAATCGATTTTGTGGGGAGTCGTCTGACAGACTAGACACCGCCGCTTGGCAGGCAGAATCTCAGCTTGAGGCTTTGGAGAAGAAGGCTTTGCAAAGCTTACGGGGGATTGCGAGCTTATCAGCGGCCGTGGTTTTCTTTGAAGGCTTCCGACGCACGCATCGCCGAGCTTGATGCCAACGAGCGCTTGTCGGTGGAGGTTTGGTGCATTTTGTCACGCCCGACACCCTGTCCACATGTGGGTTCCCAGGAAAAAGCCACCGATATCCTCACGAGTGAGAAAGCACCCCGGACGTAAAGACTGTGCATTTCTTGAGGTCTTGAGGGCGTGTGCTGGGCCTGCGCGCTTTGGCGCTATGCGTACCAAGGAGTCCGCTGAGAAGACAGTGGCTTCGATGACGCGAGCAGAGAAGCAGGCGCTGGAGAAGGCAGGGGCCCCCCACGCCACGCCGAAGAGGGCGCTCCAGCTCGCCTCAGACGCTTCCGGAAGATTTCTGCGGTAATGCGACGTGTGATCCGGAGGCGAAATCAGCCAAGACAAAGCTGGAAATGTATGCCATGGAGCAAGAGGTCGAGTGCTTGAAATTGAAGCAAACTCACTGAGCGCTTGCTGTTTGTTTTCCTCAGCTTCCGGGGCTGTGTTTTCGAGATGTCACTGCTGCTTCTCGAAATTTAAGCTATCTGGGACAAAGACTAGTCCGGACCGCTTGTACGTGGGATGTCGCAGACACTTCAAGTAACCACCATTGCATCTGACACAAATGATCGGATCGCTGACAGGGTTTGCGGAAGCTGGTCGAAGAGAAAGAGAAAGCAGAAAGTGCAGCATACAAGGATTCCGCTCCAGTGTTGATGCTGCATGGTAGAATGGCCCTATATTGTATACTGAGCTTGGAGACACACGATGGACCGATATGGAGAAGGAACCAACACCTGCAGGTAAATCGACCAAAGATTGGCTTCCTGTGCGATGTTCATGTCTCATTTGTACCCCTGGTGGCATGTGCTATGCGACGATCGTCCGCATGAACACGCGGGTTTAGTAAGAGATGTAAGTGTCCGCCGCAGGAATGTGCCATGGAGATGGCTAAGGCACTCAAGTCCTGCCATCTTCATCTGTAGCGATCTGGCTGTGCAGATGCTGTCGCAGTATCTTGAAGCTTGAAAGCGACCGTTTTCAGATTGCAGGCGTTGGAATATGGTAAGGAGAGAGAGAAGGCACAGAAACTGGGCTGCAAAAGGCTGCAATTGCTTTCGAAGGGCTCCGAAGCGCTTTGGAGTGGCTCTGTCAAGCCAAGAATTTGGGTAGGTTGGTGCCCGCAGCCCCACTAAGGCAGACCCTGGAGGCAAAGACCACGGAAGAGAAGGCGCTACCAGGGGACCAGGGGGCTTTCCGGCACTGCCCTGTGACATTCTTACGTCAACACAGCTTTCGCGTGGGCTGGGTTCTCTTGCATGCTGTGAGCTTCTCGGAGTCTTGGCGTGCCGCTTGACCTGAGGCAATCGAGGCTGAGATCGCAACGCTTCAACAAAAGTTGGCCTTGTGGCTGCAGTGGGCTTGAGGCTATGCGGAGACAGTCTGCCGAGCGACTGAGGAGGACATCCGCAAGGAGAAGGAGACGGCACAAATCCTGGCCACGCTGAAGGACTGCGTGACCGGAGTGGGCGGGGGGTAGATCGTGGAGCCCAAGGACTGGCAGAACAGGTGGAAGTCGCTTGCGGCTACAACACTTGTCTTGTCCATCGTTTCTTCCTCGTAAAGTCCTCAGTGCTCAGCTCGGCACAGGATGCAGCCGAGAAGACCTCCTTCCAGCGAGCTCGCGGGCTCGAGAAGAAGGCCACCAAAATCGCCACTGATCCTCGGCAGCCAGGCCAGTAAAGTCAACCAAAACAGCAGCCTCTACCCCGACGTATTTCAAAGCAGTCTTACGAGCTAAGGAAAAGAGAAGCTCGACCGAAACCTTGGAGAAGCTGGACCAGAACTACGAGGCTTCTTGGTAGTATAGCGAGTCAGAAGCTTACCACCTTCGACGCGATGTTCGTTTGCATCGTACGCCGATCCGGCCAATTTTCAGAGTATAGTATCCTCTGTGGGTGGAATCGCTGTGACGATTGGTTGCGGCCAGACTGGCCAGCAGGTCTCTAGCAGGGAGGCGGCGGAGCAAGAGGCAGCTGCGCTGAAGGCCTCCAGCCGCTCAGAAAATCAGGCAACATGCCACGCTGCCTGAGCCGGCAACGCAAGGCTTCCAAGAGCCGCGTAGCAGCTGAGCGGAGGATGCAGGTCTCAAGGGTTGAACGGCAAGACGCAACGATCAACATCTGTGCACCTGGCACCGTCATGCTCATGCCGCGCGAGAGCTCGCGGCCTCCATGCAGGAGAAAGAAGGCGATGCTCCCAGGATTGTCGAGGCCAAGGTGCGTTGTCTGCGAGTGTAGACGAGCCTGGAGTCTCAAGCCGAGCCAAGCGAGAGCTGCTGGAAGGACGCCGTGAAGAAATCGCGTTCTGCCCGGAGTGCGGCCGAGCGGCGCGTGGAGGAGGCAAAGAAACGGATCCAGGCAGGGCCAAGGCCGACGTCAGCTGGGTTTGGCTTTGTGCCTTGCATTCCGTCGAGGCTCTCCAGGAGAGCGTCCGCAACGCCTCCGCCGAGGCCCGCAACCGCGCTGTGCGACGAGCAGAGGCAGAGGAGTCACCAGGCTCAATAACAATAGCATTGCAGGCAATTCGCATGTACGGGTCCAGCAAAAACGGGAGGGCTACTGCTGCTGCTACTAAGACAAAGTACTAATCCTTCTACTACTGCTGCTACTACTAGTACTGGTACCACGACGACTCCGACTGCTACTGCTACTACTACTGCTATACTACTCGAACGACTACTTTAGTGACGCCGCGGGTTTAGGAAGTTAGCAGCAAGTTAAAACACATTTATTTGCAAGTTAAAATGAAGTTAGAGATGGACTTATAACTTATTTGCAACTCGCTAACTTGTTGCTAAGTTTGTTGATGGTTTTTCTGCAGTTACAGACACTCAATCGTTTTTAGCTGGAATTGGCCTAACTCAACCGACAGAAGCAGTCAAATGAAGAAGATTTCGTTTTGTCCTCAGCACACGCCAATGCCACTAATGCAAGAGTGGGGTACTGGAGGCTGCAGTACTTGCAGACGGTTTGCTGCTTTTCGCTGGGTTCTGGAAACTGCAGTGCCATGGCTCGCGGGAGCACAAGGACCCAAAAAACAAAAGGCCGGTCTTTCACAAAAAGGCTGCTGGAGCAACAGCGGCGATTGCGAGAAAGCAGCAAATGAAGCATGACGGCACCCAGCCCGGCGGACACATGGCATTGCTGACCGCGGGAGAACGGCGGACACCGGCGGACAGGCGGTTCCTATGACAAGGCCCTGGATTGTAGACCGGCGGACACGGGCGGACAGGGACATGCTCCTACACGGCTAAAGCAAGGGTGCGGCGGACACATCCGGCGGACACTCCTCCGGGGAGTCTTGGGACCCGGCGGACACAGGCGGACACGGGCGGACATTTGGCGGACACAGGCTTTTAGCCGAATTGCAGCTTCTTTTGACCGCGGAGCTAATAGAATTGCTTCCGCAGATTTGCTTAGATTCGCAGCCTGCTTGCTTTGGATGTCAGGGAACTGAGGCAACGTCTTCACCCCCATAAGGAACATCTAGGCAGCTGTAATTGCCCTTTCCAGTTTTTTGTCGACATGGCCGCCACAGTGGCCGCCGCAGTGCTACCCTGCTCCTTGAGAAATGGCTACATTTCAACATATCTATCCTAAACCGAATCTTATCGAAAACACCTTCAAAAACCCATGGTCGTGCAGCAAACATGCAAAATTTAATGAAAACGCTAAGTACGCTAACTTCTTGCTAACTTTTTTTTACTGCTCTACCCTAACTGCCCGCTAACTACTCAACTTCTCGATATCTACGTGTTTTGCTAACTTAAGTTAGCAAAACTTATAAATCAGTTAACGTATTTACAATCCAAGTTAGTGGCTTATTCAGCACTTGTAACTAAGTTGCAACTCTGTATGTCCTAGGCGACACCAAAGTACTACACATACTACTAGCACCACCACGACGACGACTGTACTAACTACCACTGCCACCACGAGTGCTGCTGCTCTTCCACGAGAGATGGCTTCGACCTTCGATTTTGATGCGATGGACTAGTGAGCTTTTTCCTAGCGGCTCTTCACGTTTGTTCTTGAGATGGGATTCATAACAATCATGGTGCAATACTCTTTGCCGGGTTTTATCCAGTCCCCGCATCGTATCGACGTGCATGTGGTACGGCGCTCACGTGAGTGTGCTCTTCCTACTCCTTGTACTCCAACGTTCTACTAGCACTTGTACCGCTGCTACATGCTGCTACTGCCACTACTACGACGACGACTACGACTACCACGACGGCGACGACAACTACCAGTGATACTACTGCCGTTGCTGCTGCTATACGACCACCAGCAACTTTCCAACGACCTGCTGAGCACTCCGTTCTACGTACCATGTAATGTACCATGTAATAACTTGTACCCAGCACTAGCTTCACTAGCTTGCGCTATCACCAGCACTACTGCTCCAGTTTTGGATTGGGCGTTCGTGACTTATGCTCGATGTTGCATCTTTCGTGAGTCGGAAAGTTGGCTATGTGGGCCTTGAGTTGTTGTTAGCACTAGCTACGACAGCTTAAGGCTGAGCTTCGGCGAACTGTAGAGGGTTCACAGGAGGCTGACAACGACATCGCACGGACGCGGCCTTTGGTTCGGGAACCTCTTTAAGTACCACAGCCACCAAATAAGTCCGAACAGGGAGACTGCTGGCGGCACATGTCATGTTGCTTGCTCTGCTTCCGGCTGCTGGTGCCGCATAAATGATTCAAAAAGAGAAGGCTATTGTGCTGCACGCCAGTTTGCGCCACAGCTTGTCGTACACCTGAGGAAGTTGAAGAGTCTGCGGAGAGCCTCGGATGAATCCGATTGTAGACTGTGCTCGGCCTAGTTAAGCAGCCTTTGAGGCCTTTGAAACGAACGGAAGTCGGCTGGCCGCCTTGCTATTGCTCAGGATCACAGGAGAGTGCCAAGGAGAAGCTGGAGGAGCTGAGCTTGCAGGCATCCCCCGTGTTCGGCAAGGGTGACTTCGGCTTTCGTTTCGTCGCTCTGGCATCCGGAAGCAAGTCTGACATCGGAAAGCTTCGCACGACTGACGGAACAGTGTAAGAAGTCTCGCAAACTATAGCAGATACGGCGGTGTATGAAGCAGAGTGCCACCTGACGATTGCAGCGCTTGATAACATGCAAGCAGTGTTCCCGACTTCGTGCGCACCGATGCCTGGTGCTTCTAGAATGAAAAGTGCGGAAGTACAGTGATAGCCTATGAACTTATGATTGGCTGCGTTTCTCGTCCAGGCATCATGTTCGCAAGACAATTCGTTCCCGCCCCCCGAAGCTAAGTCGAAGCTGTTTGTCACCAGTCGATCAGGGTAGATCGACCCAGCATGACAATCATCCCCCCATATATTTTCAGCTGCCTGTGCTTGCCGTCGCATCTGCGAGGGTGGGGTTGAAGAAAGCATAGAAGCAGTTTGCTTGCTGTCGCTTGTCGGAAGCACGGAACCGCGGTAAGTTATAGCATCCGCATCGGTCGAATAGCAACAGCATGGTAGCTCATGGCAGGTCAAGTTCCAGCTGTAAAGAAAACATGTCAAGGCATTTGCAGCCAGAAGTTTGGAGTAGTGAGTCTTGACAATTGGATGGATTGGGCGGGTTGGAGAATGCTGCGTTGTTGAGTTCTCTGACAAATCAGGTCAGCATTTGATGGTACTGCATGGGCCCAGACGGAAAGCAGAGAAGCAAGTAACAAACGACCGCGCCAAAGGAATGCCGTATGTACGGGGTGGGCACATGAGAGAGAAGCCTACGAAGGTGAGCTTAGTGCCAAGAGCACAGAAGACCAGTGGTTACAGAGGCCCCACTTGCAAAACTCTTTCGCTTGTGCGTGTAGCCGGCTTGAGGTCAAAAAAGCAGAGGAGGAACGCAAGGCCGCCGAAAAGGCAGCTGCGGAGGCCTGGGACTTTCTCTTCAACTATAATCGCTTGCCGAAAATATTGCAAATTCACCCTACCTGTGGGAAATCGAGGCCCCTCTCCACGGCTAGAGTTAGGCCATGCGCAGGACGTGCATATGCAGTTCCATCTTAAGTGCAGTTTTCTGCCGGGAGAGACCAGCGTCTAGCATGACCAGCTTGCCCCGGAAAGTCCTCGTCGCTGAGGCGGGCAAGCCGACTCGACCACAGGCTCGGCTTCAGATACTCATAAAATAAGTGGGTATGTATGGAAGAATCATGCTGCGATGGCTTTGCTGCATAGCTGCAAGTCTTGCTCACAGCAATGCCTGGCGAATTTACGCGCGTCTTGACAGGACAAGAAATAAAGGCAGCCAAGTGAGCAGCAGAGCAGAAGTGATCGCTCACAGCGCCTCAGGGTCAAGGAGACATGCTCAAAGTGCAGTAGCAAAGCGTACCATCGCCTGACCCGATTCCCCTTTTCATCGGCGAGGATGTCAATTTGCTCGCTCGTGTTGAACGTGGCCGAGATGCTCGACAGAAACTTGCCTCCGCAAGATGTCAGCTTGTTCAGGATCCCTCACCACATTTCAATTGTAATAATCACACTGCGTCGCTACGGGTGCTTTATCTTGCGGCGAAGCGTGTCAGGTCTGGACGAGGTTGTGAAGCTCACCGACAAGTGAGCGTCCAACTGCGGATCTGAGCTGTGGCTGTGCCGCGCGAGGGGCTCCGAAATGGCGATCTTGCTTATCCATTTTTTGCCCTTTCGAAACTCCCTGACACCGGTCGAGTCGGTCTGCCAGTGTGCCAGTATGTGCCAGTGCGGTTCTTCGTTTTGAACCTCTTGTCAGGTCTCTGCGCATGCGAGGCTTCTGGCCGACAAGCTTCGACTCCTGGAGGCAAGCAACGCCCTTCTCTGCTCGCCGAATCAGCTGGCCAAATGAAAAAAACTCGGAACCAATGTACCAGTGACCGTCAGTTGTAGGACGAGCGAGATGCGGTCGACGAAGCAGCCAGGGCTTCGGAGGTGCACCGGGTCTGAGGTCAGGGACCAGCAGATCATGAGCACATGTGAGTCACTGGCTCTTGTCTTCGTTGCTCGAAGAGGGTGCTGCCGAAGCTAAGCTTCCGGGAAGCCCACATAGATCACATCAAGGACATAGTGCGCCATGGCGCTGAAGCGGATCCAGAAGGAGCTACAGGACCTGGGGAACGACCCGCCGGCGAATTGCTCGGCGGGGCCGGTTGGAGACGACATGTTCAACTGGCAGGCGACCATCATGGGCCCACCCGACTGTCCCTACTCCGGCGGTGTGTTCTTCCTGAACATCAACTTCCCATCCGACTACCCCTTCAAGCCGCCGAAGGTGCACTTCACCACGAAGATCTACCATTGTAACGTGAATTCGAACGGGGCTATCTGCCTTGACATCTTGAAGGATCAGTGGAGTCCAGCATTGACCATATCGAAGGTCTTGCTGTCCATCTCGTCTTTGCTGACAGACCCGAACCCCAACGACCCGCTAGTGCCGGAGATTGCCCAGGTCTACCTGAAGGATCGGGCCAAGCATGATACCACGGCTCGCGAGTGGGTCCAGAAGTACGCGACGTGAAGCACACGACAAAAAGTCGCCGCTTAGGCATGTTGACTCTGCCTGCTTCATCCTCATGGACAGCTGAGGGGTGACAGTGAGTTGCAAATTCAAGCGCTGCCTTTGGTTGTGAAGGCTCATCTGAGGAGCAATCCGGCAGCTAGTGCCACAGGTTGCCTTCAAATGCGTGTGTGATAGCCACTTCCGACTGTCAGTGTGCTTTTGGCATTCATGACCATGTGCCGTCTGACGGAAAATTCGCCTAAGCATGGCAGCTGCCACAATTGTTCGGACCTTCTCGTGCTTGCACGCAGTAGCAGTTCTTCCTGAACCTGTCGATGTGTCCACCTGCAGCTCGTGTGTTCACGACCGATCCTTCTCCAGGTCTTCGTGAATGCTGTGCAAAGGCTTGTCACAAGAGACGGGTGTTTTGAATTCCAGGCTTATCGGATCGAGAGCCCTTGCTCTGCCAAAGCCAGTGGCACCCGGCTGATTTTGGAAGGTCCCTTTCCGTGGCGCGCCATGGCGCTGAAGCGGATCCAGAAGGAGCTACAGGACCTGGGGAACGACCCGCCGGCGAATTGCTCGGCGGGGCCGGTTGGAGACGACATGTTCAACTGGCAGGCGACCATCATGGGCCCACCCGACTGTCCCTACTCCGGCGGTGTGTTCTTCCTGAACATCAACTTCCCATCCGACTACCCCTTCAAGCCGCCGAAGGTGCACTTCACCACGAAGATCTACCATTGTAACGTGAATTCGAACGGGGCTATCTGCCTTGACATCTTGAAGGATCAGTGGAGTCCAGCATTGACCATATCGAAGGTCTTGCTGTCCATCTCGTCTTTGCTGACAGACCCGAACCCCAACGACCCGCTAGTGCCGGAGATTGCCCAGGTCTACCTGAAGGATCGGGCCAAGCATGATACCACGGCGCGCGAGTGGGTCCAGAAGTACGCGACGTGAAGCACACGACAAAAAGTCGCCGCTTAGGCATATTGACTCTTCCTGCTTATCCTCATGGACAGCTGAGGGGTGACAGTGAGTTGCAAATTCAAGCACTGCCTTTGGTCGTGAAGGCTCATCTGAGGAGCAATCCGGCAGCTAGTGCCACAGGTTGCCTTCAAATGCGTGTGTGATAGCCACTTCCGACTGTCAGTGTGCTTTTGGCATTCATGACCACGTGCCGTCTGACGGAAAATTCGCCTAAGCATGGCAGCTGCCACAATTGTTCGGACCTTCCCGTGCTTGCACGCAGTAGCAGTTCTTCCTGAACCTGTCGATGTGTCCACCTGCAGCTCGTGTGTTCACGACCGATCCTTCTCCAGGTCTTCGTGAATGCTGTGCAAAGGCTTGTCACAAGAGACGGGTGTTTTGAATTCCAGGCTTATCGGATCGAGAGCCCTTGCTCTGCCAAAGCCAGTGGCACCCGGCTGATTTTGGAAGGTCCCTTTCCGTGGCGCGCCATGGCGCTGAAGCGGATCCAGAAGGAGCTACAGGACCTGGGGAACGACCCGCCGGCGAATTGCTCGGCGGGGCCGGTTGGAGACGACATGTTCAACTGGCAGGCGACCATCATGGGCCCACCCGACTGTCCCTACTCCGGCGGTGTGTTCTTCCTGAACATCAACTTCCCATCCGACTACCCCTTCAAGCCGCCGAAGGTGCACTTCACCACGAAGATCTACCATTGTAACGTGAATTCGAACGGGGCTATCTGCCTTGACATCTTGAAGGATCAGTGGAGTCCAGCATTGACCATATCGAAGGTCTTGCTGTCCATCTCGTCTTTGCTGACAGACCCGAACCCCAACGACCCGCTAGTGCCGGAGATTGCCCAGGTCTACCTGAAGGATCGGGCCAAGCATGATACCACGGCGCGCGAGTGGGTCCAGAAGTACGCGACGTAGTTCGACAAACCTGCAAGGGCCCTGTCCCAGCCCGAACAGGGCGCATGCGTGACAGGGACCGAGAGCGATTGCGAGATGGATAAGAGACCGTTTCGCTCATGCGGTGATCTAGGACCGATTGCATTGTCGCACAGCAGAGTCTTATCAGTGAAATTCACAGGTCCAGCAGGTTAGCACCTTCCAGAAGGGGCGGCAAGACTGCTTGCCCTGTCGCGGCCCGAGCTTTAGCACGGTAGAGAGTGTGGCGGTATCCGGACCGCGTTTACTAGCGGCGCGCCATGGCGCTGAAGCGGATCCAGAAGGAGCTACAGGACCTGGGGAACGACCCGCCTGCGAATTGCTCGGCGGGGCCGGTCGGAGACGACATGTTCAACTGGCAGGCGACCATCATGGGCCCACCCGACTGTCCCTACTCCGGCGGTGTGTTCTTCCTGAACATCAACTTCCCATCCGACTACCCCTTCAAGCCGCCGAAGGTGCACTTCACCACGAAGATCTACCATTGTAACGTGAATTCGAACGGGGCTATCTGCCTTGACATCTTGAAGGATCAGTGGAGTCCAGCATTGACCATATCGAAGGTCTTGCTGTCCATCTCGTCTTTGCTGACAGACCCGAACCCCAACGACCCGCTAGTGCCGGAGATTGCCCAGGTCTACCTGAAGGACCGGGCCAAGCATGATACCACGGCGCGCGAGTGGGTCCAGAAGTACGCGACGTAGTTCGACAAACCTGCAAGGGCCCTGTCCCTGCCCGAACAGGGCGCATGCGTGACAGGGACCGAGAGCGATTGCGAGATGGATAAGAGACCGTTTCGCTCATGCGGTGATCTAGGACCAATTGCATTGTCGCACAGCAGAGTCTTATCAGTGACATTCACAGGTCCAGCAGGTTAGCACCTTCCAGAAGGGGCGGCAAGACTGCTTGCCCTGTCGCGGCCCGAGCTTTAGCACGGTAGAGAGTGTGGCGGTATCCGGACCGCGTTTACTAGCGGCGCGCCATGGCGCTGAAGCGGATCCAGAAGGAGCTACAGGACCTGGGGAACGACCCGCCGGCGAATTGCTCGGCGGGGCCGGTCGGAGACGACATGTTCAACTGGCAGGCGACCATCATGGGCCCACCCGACTGTCCCTACTCCGGCGGTGTGTTCTTCCTGAACATCAACTTCCCATCCGACTACCCCTTCAAGCCGCCGAAGGTGCACTTCACCACGAAGATCTACCATTGTAACGTGAATTCGAACGGGGCTATCTGCCTTGACATCTTGAAGGATCAGTGGAGTCCAGCATTGACCATATCGAAGGTCTTGCTGTCCATCTCGTCTTTGCTGACAGACCCGAACCCCAACGACCCGCTAGTGCCGGAGATTGCCCAGGTCTACCTGAAGGACCGGGCCAAGCATGATACCACGGCGCGCGAGTGGGTCCAGAAGTACGCGACCTAGGTTGTAGAGTTCATGAAACCGCTGACGCTGCAGAGTGGAGTCGGAGCATTCGTGGCCTTCTGCGTGGAGCAAAATTACTTTGCAAACGCAGAGCAGGGTTGTTGGCAAGGAAAGTTGCTTTTTGTGAACACCCCCCTGGCCCACTGGCAGCAGACTGGATTGTGGGGTCCTTTTCGGGGGTTGTGGCTCTTGCTCTGACGTCCGAGTCTTGTCTGCACCTACAGCATCGTAGCGACGCGTTCTGTGCATATAGACGGCACCAGTCACCAGCACGGTCGAGCGTCATTGTTGCCATTCCCGGTGGTGGTTGTAATGACTCGCAGGAGTTTAAGCAGGTCAAAGCTTGTATGTCATACTGCATGTCTTCTGTGCTTGCCCGCATCATGGTCATGATGCATGAACATGTATGGTGTTGTCGCTGACTTGCTTGCTACGTGGGAGGTTGTGCTTCCTACCTCACAAGCTCCATTCGTATTAAAATGCGCAGATCTGACGATTGCATCGACTTGCATAGAAGCCTCGAAAGCAGGAGATGCTCTTGAGCTGTCGTTGCAGCATGCCTTCACCTTCGCGGGCCAGAGCCCAGGTAGTCACGGACAGCTCCCACCTCCAGACATCCAGCCTTCGACAATGTGTTGTTTGCTTCTTCGATTCTGTGCTTGCATAGACGCGTACGCACAAGTATATAAGTTAGGTATATGTGTGGTGACAAGAAGGCAAAACAGAGGTGATTCCTTTTTCTTGAGATGCTCTTGATGCGGACGCCTGGGTCGTCGTGCGCTAGGCTGCTGCTTTTAATCGGCACCGCCGGTTGTTCTCAGAAAATTGGGCAGGAGGGAGGTTGAGTTTAGCATCTGTGATTGCATACCCCCCCCCCACCCCCTTCGCATGATCCACACCCCTGTTCCGTCCAGGTCTCTCCAACTCTTTTTCTAAAGGCTTCTGTCTCGATCAGCTGCCTTGCAGGTGTAGAAAACATACTTATTTGCGGGGCTTTCCCTACATACGACTATGCTGACTCAAGTTGAAAGCTCCTGGTACCAACAGCGGATTCCGTTTTCGTTTCAGTCTAGCGGGTATACTACTTTTTTCCCTACATGGATTGGCAAAAATATTTACATACACACGTTCATACTTGATGCATGCATGCATGTATGCATGCATCTGGCATAGCCACATCGCTTTTCCTTGCGGGTTGGCGGTTTGGGTTTGGGGCAGCATGTAAAGATCGAGGCACAACATCCGCGACGTGATCCATTTGCGCACTGGTTGTCGTAGTCATCTGCCCAGCCATTACCGTCGAAGTCGTGGTCGTCGACATCGCAGTTGTACATGTATGCATGCATTGGCGGTAAATGCATCTCGCAGCTGAAAACAGAGGCGTGTTCGCTTCGCTTTTCCGCATCACGGCTCGTCGAGTGCTAGGGAGGCTAAGGAGGCCCAACAGCGGCAATTCAAGCGTGGCGGCGCGCCATGGCGCTGAAGCGGATCCAGAAGGAGCTACAGGACCTGGGGAACGACCCGCCGGCGAATTGCTCGGCGGGGCCAGTTGGAGATGATCATTTCAACTGGCAAGCGACCATCATGGGCCCACCCGACTGTCCCTACTCCGGCGGTGTGTTCTTCCTGAACATCAACTTCCCATCCGACTACCCCTTCAAGCCGCCGAAGGTGCACTTCACCACGAAGATCTACCATTGTAACGTGAATTCGAACGGGGCTATCTGCCTTGACATCTTGAAGGATCAGTGGAGTCCAGCATTGACCATATCGAAGGTCTTGCTGTCCATCTCGTCTTTGCTGACAGACCCGAACCCCAACGACCCGCTCGTGCCGGAGATTGCCCAGGTCTATCTCAAGGACCGCGCCAAGCATGATCAAACAGCGCGTGAGTGGGTCCAGAAGTATGCCACCTGATCGGCCAAGCTCAAATTTTGTAGAGTGTGTTGGTACTGGTTAGACGGCAAGTTGCTTGGGCCAAGCTCGAATCACCCCGATTCAGAATTTATTCATAGTCCTGGATATGTGTGTGTGGTGGTCAGGCAATGAGCCTACAACGAGCTGCTGTTTCGATGGGGTGGTTACGTCCATTGGATGCACCGCCCGATGAAAGAGATCAAAAAAGCCTGAGCTCTGCATCAAGGCATCATTGGGAATCCACCCGCACGCCCACAGCCCTCGTCACGTGGGTGCGCCCACATCCGCAGACAGAGACAGAGAGAGACAATCAGCCAGTGCAGCCAGCCAGACAGACAGACAGAGAGACAGAGAGACGGAGAGACCCAGAGCAAAGCAAAGCAAAGACGGAGAGATGGAGAGACAGAGACACAGAGACATAGAGCCAAAGACACAGAGACACAGAGACACAGACAGACAGCCAGCCTGACAGACAGCCAGACAGACAGACAAGGCAAGACAGACAAGACAGACAAGACAGACAAGACTGACAAGACTGACAAGACAGACAAGACAGACAAGACAGGACAGATAAGATAGATTACACAGACCGGACAGACAGGACAGATAAGACAGACAAGACAGACAAGACAGACAAGACAGACGGACAGACGGACAGACGGACCGACAGACAGACAGACAGACACACGCACACGCACATGCACAGCCACACGCACAGCCGCACGCACGCGCTCTCTCTCTCTCTCTCTCTTTCTCTCTCTCTCTCTCTCTCTCTCTCTCTCTCTCTCTCTGTTTCTCTCCTAGTCATGGTGTTCCGTGATTTGGTTTGTTCGCTGGGCCCACTTGCATGTCTGGAGTTGCATCGAACTTGGAGGCACTGCGCCTCTCAGTCACGCAGCGCCTGCAGCAGGCTGCCTCCGAGGCACGCTTCTGCAGCAGGGCAACAGTGAGAGAAGTGGATGCTTTGGGTTTGCCCCGGTAAATCGTCCTCCGGCACAGACATGCACAGACTTGAGGTTAAGTCTGCCAAATCTGGACCTCATGTCGGCCACGAGGGGCAAATCGAAGTGCACAGGATGGCGGTTCACAAGGAATCAGATCAAGGACCTGCATCTCTCATTACAACACAACGACCAATTAGCATTGCAGACGGGAGCAACAGTCATATCGGGGACCAAGGGCAAAAGCATTGAGGGAGAAAGAAAGAGACGGATGGAAAGACATATAAGTATAGTAATATAATATTAATTATATATATATATATATATATGTGTGTGTGTGTGTATGTGCACACACATACATATACATAGTAATATATACATGGAATATGAAAAACTATAGTGTAATACAATACAGTAGAATGTATCAAAATGTTTTATAATGTAATACGATGTAGTATAATATTATATATATAACGATATATTATAACAAAGCAAATTATACGATGATACAATATACTATAGTACAATACAGTATAAAATGGTACAACATACTATATTAGCAAATAAGGTGTTTTAGTAGAAAAACTCTACTATTTTATACTATGCCGTATGCTATAACATACTTTACTGTGGAATCCGTGGCAACAGCCCCACCCATTTCGCTGTTTCTAGCTGATCCCCAAAGCAAATCTGCACAGTCGTAAAGCTGTGCACCGCCAGACATGGTAGCAGGAGTCGGAGTGTGTCTGCATGTCATGTCAAGCCATGCCATGGGCCGAGGCTCCACGGAGAAAGCATCAGACAAAGCCTGCATGCATGGAAAAGCATCACGATTTTGCAGTACGGCCAACACATTGCGGACTTTTGACATGATCCGAGATTTTCGAGAATATCCATAACGATCCACAGGTGGAACGTGTCGTGGGGTCATTTGGCACCCTGCAGGTAGACCTGGCTAAGGCAACGGCGGAGGCAGCCAGCATGGAGGCGCGAACACAGGGAGCCTTCTGAGCCAGGCTGACTCTTGCAGCCTTGCGGCGACAGGCCCGGCACCTGCAAGAGATGGTCATGCGGGCGAAGGCATAGCGAACCCAGGGAAGACGACCGTGGCCCGTCAGCGGCTTGCAGGTGAACCAAACCTCCAGCCTGTCCGAGTGGGAGGCATCCGCGCCCAGCTCATGATTTCAGAGTATGATGTCCAGTGAAGTGTTGCTTGTCCGTTCTGCAAATTAGCATGGGGTCATGCGCCCCGATTCGTTTCCGACTCTGTGGCATTCCGATGCGACTGGCCGCTGCCAGTTCTGCACAGCTTCGGCGACTCACCCCTTCACAAAGCATATCTGGCGCATCCTGAATCCTGACGCATAGATTGTTGGCAGCTTGTGCATGCCCATGTCAAGACCTCGAAAGCAGATGGATTGTAAGTAAGGAGTCAGGAGGTGTTAGCAGTTCCAGATGTCGCTGATCCCTGGCTCCTAAAGCCTAAGGAGAGTACTGTACGAGTCTGCCAGACGTCAGCCACGATCTTCGCGATCCCACCCCCACTTGTCATTGCGCAGTTCTTGTTATCCGACTCCGACCTTCCTCACAGATCCTTCACTCCCAGCTCGGTTGTGCATGTTGCAGGGATTCCAAGCTGACGTTCGTGCCCGGAGCTTGAGTTCAAGTGCTCGTATTCGTGTGTTTGCCTTGGTGAATCCTTTTGTTCCGAGGGCCTGCTGGTCGATGGGCCCAGTGGGCCTGGGCCACCACTGCCGACGATGCCCACTGTCCAGGACTCTGAGGCCGCCGAATCTGCGGCTCGAGCGTGGCTCACTCTAGTGGTAGTGGACCTTTCATTTCAGGCATATGCTGAGATGGCCGAAGCCCTCGATGAGATAAAGAGGCCAATTTCATTGCTCTCTTTTTGGCTTTAAGCCAACTGTGCCGGCTCCAGCATAAATCCTGCAAGCCCTGACCTCTGCTGGAGCTGCAGATGGCGCCTTCACGGAACGCCACCGAAGAATGGGCCTCGTTCTCAGATTCAGGGTGAGCGTCTTGTCATGTGAGAAGGCTGCCTGTTGCCTGTTGCCTCAGGTCCGCTTTGCAGAAGAGTCTCAAGGCCGTCTTCTTGGTGCTCCTTCCACCACGTTCGAGAGCTGTGGCTGCAATCCGGCAAGGCTCGAATTGAGGATGTGGAGCCCCAGCCTCATGCGGAGCCTGCATGGGCTAGAAGCTGGCAAGAAGTGTTTGGGTCACTCCAAAGACTGACCAACGATTTCCGAAAGAACTGATGATGCTCATTGTCTGGTGGATGTCTGGCGCGCCAGAACGCTGAGGCGGCAGCTCCTGGCTGCACGAGCCATCCGCGAGCGCGGCCAGAAAGAGGACCTTGAGATTGGTCAGGTTTTGTTGTCATGCGTCGGCAGTGTTCAGCCTACATGTGTTCGGCAAGAGTGCTTCTGAAAAAGCGTAAATATGTTGTAGCAGGGTGGCAGTGTGATGGCCGGAATTGCAGCGGCTGCTGTGTCAGCTGCCCGCACGGCATGCAGCCGCAAGCTCAGGGTCGCTGCCTGGAGAGGGTCGTACATATTCTTCTTGTCAATAGCGCCTGTCCTCAAGGCGAAGATCGCTTAGCGGAGCTTGAGGCAGGATGGCATGGCCCATGCCGCATGGGACATAAGCGCAATGTGACAAGTGCGGTCGGAACCGAAGATTTTGGTGCGCGGGCTGCAGGAAGACCTCCAAAGCACGAGGGATGTGAAAGCAGCTGCAGAGGTCGGATAGCGAGTGGCTGGACTTGGTCACATAGGTTCCACTTGACCTAAATATCAGGCATTGATGAGCGAGATTGCGGCTCATGCAGGCAAACCGAGCGATTCCGCAGGCACAAGCTGTGCAGAAGTAACGCCTTTTTCCTCTATCTTGTTGCTATGGGCTCAGCCAGGTGAACTGATCGAGGCCCCAGATGATCATGCAGACGGCAGCCACGAGCCACGGTGCCGGCAGGTGCGACTGTGCAAAGCTAAGCCGCCCGGCAGCCGCCCTGCCCGCCAATGGATGATGATTTCGAGTAAGCCGACCCTTCAGAACATCCTTCTGAGTGCTTAGAGCAGCGAAGGCGGCAGCCGATGGTCTGCAAAAGCCTGGGCCGAACCCCAGCGAGGAGGCTTGCAATTTGCATCCTGTTGCTGCCGATTCCGACGAGTTGTGCCTGCTAAGCCACCACCGGCTACTGGCCCACGAGTCCCAGCAGTTGAAGCAATCTGTCCGGTTGAATTCGCCAGTTGGACTAGCTGCGTAGCCATATCTGGGACTTGGAGCATGTTCACGAAATGCGCCCTTGGTTGGCCAGGCAGTGAGGAGTTTCACCGCTGAGTTGCTTGAAGCATTGGCTGCATGCCGTATGGAAATGGAGCTGGTGAGGCGCACTGCTGCTGCACGCACACACACACACACACACACACACACACACACACACACACACACACACACGCACCAGCACGCGCACGCGCGTGCACTCTGTTTGTGGTGCAAGCGAAACTGGCTGTTCGCATGATTCGTGAGGCCTGCTTGTGATTGAAGTTGACGCCGCTGCTTGCTGAGCGGCACCTTTACAGATGCAGGCCGACTGGCATTGCACATGCTTCGGCAAGACGCAGACCTGGGATGTTTGGACAACACAGGGCCGCTTGAACGAACATGCTAAGATCTACAGCGTTGCGGGCTAATCCCAAGACTGTGTCCTGCAAGCTGTACGTAGGCCGACTTAATGACAAGGGGGTACTTCACTGTGCGATGTGATGTCTCGAAAGGATGCTTTATTGTCAACGAGAAACGAGAGCCGTCTGTTCGCACCTTTTGATGTGCTACCTTGATCTTCCAGGGATCTTGCACATGTCACCTGGCACCGTCTGGGCTCGCCACCTAGAGTGAAAGGCTGTCCTTGCGGTGCCGAAGACTGCGCACACTGTAATCTTGAGTGGCTGCACCTCCGGATGTCCACATCCATGCTAACTGCTAACGCCTGCAATCCATCTCCTGTGGTTTCTGCTGACGGGACATCCGACGGAAGTGCGAACTGCCAAGAACGGTGACTTGTTCAAGCTGGCCGGGCAGAATTGCCAGGGCCGGAAGAGTAAATGCCGGAGCAAGCCAACGCGTCAAACTGGTGGAGCTGTTGCGTCTTAGTTAGACCGCCTCCTGTGCATCCAGCCGTCAGTGATGTGCTCCAACCCCAACATGGCGCGCAGCTTTAAGGCCCAAATTATACGAAGTGGGCCACACTGTTCCGTGCAGTGTCCGCCCTTTGGAAGGATTCCCGAAAGTATTGCAGACTTGCTCCGGAGTTGAGTGTGATTGGTCTTTTCCGTTTTTACACTATTCAACAGCTTCTTGGCCTGCTCTTGTCACTATCCGCCCCATGTTAAGCACGTGCTGCCGACACTCTGCAGGAGCATGTCCGCTCCGAATGCCCTGTGCCTAGCCGCCCTCAGACGCTGCAGGTATCGTTAGCACAATAGGTCAGGTCCAGGAGTCCAGGTATTGCTTGATTCCCTATATCCATTTCAAGCCGCCGTTTGAGAAGGAAGTGGAAGGAAGGCCTTTTTGAGGGGCAGAAGAATTTGTACTGTAAGTGCTGAGGACGGACCTGATGGATACAAGCTGTTCGTTGGAAGCCTACCCTCAGCAGGTGCCTAAATTTGCTCAAGAGGTAACTCATCGTGTCGATGTCACAGCGCGTCCAAGGATTGCACATCAGAGGAGCTACATTCAGTGTTTTCAACTTACGGCATAGCATCTTGGCAGAGACTTGGACATCAGTGTGGAACCGTCTCCAGCAAGTCCTGCAGCGACAAGTCTGGTGGGGCTTTCGTTTCCATAGAATCCTCGAGAAGACGTCATGCACGCCACATTGTCGCTGCTTTGTACCAGCTATTACCAGCTTCTGTCAGCTGACATTCGTCTCGCCCATGTGTCTTGATGGTCGCCCTTGGATGCTTCCCGGGCTAGGTAAGCCATGTCCACGTGCCGCCGCCGCAGTTTGCTGGCATGTGCCGTCTGGAGATTTGTGAGAGTGTGCCGGCGTCGCGTAAACACGCCAAACTGCCAGATGATGAATCCGCACCCAAGATCTGGCCAGAGGCTCTGCCCCGGCCTTTGAGTAGATGTAGGACTCGGACACCAGGACGGTAGGAGCTCGCATGGACCTGGCTTCGTGAGACGAGTGTGCGAGTTGCGCTTTGGAGGTGTGCCTTCCTCTCTTATTCCACTAAATCTGCTGGCGACGATGCATGCAAAGCAGGGCCGCCCAGAAGCTGCCCGCACTTGCTAAAAGACCTGGGTCATGTCATGTCCGCAACACTCTGCGCAAATTGTCGCACCGAGGTGCTGGACAACCAGTACAAGATTAGAAGAGATGCGCCACATCCAATTGTAGTTCGATGGGCCAAGGACAGACTGGTCTGCAAGACTTGCTTGGTGTATCGACCGACATGTGAAGGATTCTGGCTACGAACCGAATGGTGCAAAAGCCGCAGGCAAACGACGCAGTAGAACAGAAAACGTCGTAGGTCGTCGGATCCACCAGCCATGCAGCATCCGAAATTGCAAGCAGAACCTCGTCGTTGCCGTGTCTTGCTTTCAGGTGATTGGGATAGCAGTGCATGCCTCAGATCAGTCCCAATGAGGTGACAAACGGTATTGGCGTAGCATTGCATGTTTCCAGTTCTGGATCTGCATGAGGTCAGCCGAAGAAGACGGAGGCATCTCCAGATGGCAGGGGTCTGAAAGCATTGCGTCGCAGCATCGGCCGCCTTTGACCAGATGCCAGAGGCAGGATTATACACGCAGGCCACAAGTTTTTAGTGGGGTGGAAGTCACAACCGAGCATGATTTGCGTCGGCAGTGCTTGCTTGTGTGCGCATTGGGTGCCGCTGTGGGGTACTTCTCTAAGTGGCCTGTTGAGCAGAGGCGTTCCAATCGTCATTGCCATGCTGGACTTGCCTTGCGCGGCTAGCTTTACATTGTTGACGACAGCCTGCCTGAATTTTCAGACGCCAAGTCGGTGCAACGAGGACCAGAAGAGATGAATACCATGTGGGAAATTTGGTCAGAAAGCCCAAGTAGTTTGCCAACTCTTGACAGTGCCACAATGTGGCCGAAAACTGCGCAGGCCAGTCAGGTTTTGTTTTTATCATGCAGAAAGGCAGGTGCATTCATGATCCCCGCTCTGGGGCACAAGTTAATTTCCTGTTGTCATTCCGGCCTGGATGCCTTGTGGAGCTTCTAAACATGGTCTTTGGTTTGCCAGTGTCTGCGGTCAGGTGTGTAGAGGCTCAAATGTACAGTCGGCGGATGGGGTCAAGGGCGGGAAAGGCATGCCTCGGTGATTGCGGCGATTCAACTGGCAATTGATCAAGCATGATCAAGCTGCACATGCCGAAGGACGCATTGCTGTCACAAGCCTTTTCCGTGGTCTTGCGCCGAAACTCCTCCATATCACTGACGCCGCACTCGAGTCACTGGCTTCCGAGTTCCCGCACTCCCGTCCAAGTTCGTGGAATGCTGTTGACCTGTGAGATCGTCTGCACTCAAATATGATGTTCTCCCAGCTTCCAATGTACTGCGGATCATCGCACGCGGAAAGAAGCCGGGGAACGGGTGTTTTTGTGTGTGCTGTTGGTGGCTTTTGCGGTTGCGCTCTGCAGGTGAAGTTTTGGAGGCCCAAACAGCTTGGTGCGGGGGAGGCGGGCGTGTCTTTTTTGGCACGGGGGCGGTCCGGGGGGGTGGGAGGGGTCTGCTGTTGAAGTAAGTGCGCGCCTAGCAAAAAGCACCCGCCCACACCAACCAACAGCAAACAAAAGCACTCTTACCAAGAAGCCGCTGACAAGTTGGCACAGCATGAAAAAACAATATTCAACCGCTGCATCATAGCTGTGCGGCGCGGTGAGCTCCTGGAGAGATGCGGCCAAGATCGCTAGATCTTCATACAGTGGCCAGAACCGCGACACCTCTCTCTGGGTTGGTTGGACGCCTTGCTCCACATCAACATCCTCAATGTTCTCAATTGGTCTAATGCAAGCTGTATGATGCCATGCTTGTGTTGATGCCACGCTGGCTGATGCCATTCCATCCCTGTGTGCATGTATCGGCTTGGGACTTTAGTCTCATTCACAGGGGCCGAGCATATCCGAGCACTGCAGTCATGCCATGCCGCTGCGATGGAGGGGCAGTGGTCATTTCCATCCCATGGCAGTTGCGTAGCATGGATTTCAAACCACTCATAAACAATCACATTCCTGGCTGATGATTGCATGTCATGGGCAGCTGCGTAGTTTCGCGAGACTTAAGGTCACAAACTTTTTGTCGGTGGCCTTCCTCACGATGTTTCGGAGGAAGAGCTGAGAATAGTGCCCCTGAGCTGCAGCTGGAAGGCTGGAGAGGCAAGCATGTGTCCAAGCTTTCTGAAAGGTTTGACACATATGGAGTGGTCCAGCCTGCAACTCAGTGTGTCCGGTCTCATGCTTCCGCAGCCAAAGAAGTCTCAGCCTCTTGGCGACCTTTGCCGGACTGGTGGCTCATGCCTTCATCACTTCCTCCCCGTCCATGTCTTGCTCTCGCTAACTCGTGGCATCCGTTCTACGCAGCTGCTTCGTGCAGCCTGCGTCCTTTCATGCATAATGCCCTCATTCAGGTCTAGTTGATGTGCGAAGTCTTCGTCCTCATGATGTCCTTAATCGTTGGCCGCTGCCACTCGTTGTAGTGCTCGTACAGCGCATGTGAACTTATCTCAGTAATAGTCTTGCTTCTTCTGCTTCTTCGGGCACGGGGCGCTCTGGTGCTTTGCTTCGCCTTCCGATGCGAGTGCTTGGACTTTAGAGCTCCGTTCTTGAAAACAGCCACGGGCAGAGACAGAGAGAGAGACGGCAAACACGAACACTGGCGTAGTGCTCGCGCGCAGGGGGAGGGGAACTCGCTTTCCCTCACCCCAAACGCCCGGCAAGCAAGCAAGCAAGACAGCAAACGAGGCGTGAGCAAGTTGTCCGTTGTTTGCCTAAAGTAGCGCGTTGCTTGAACTCAGCCCGTGGAGTGCCCGAACCGTGCGTCCCTTCAACAGCGGGCTTCTCCCGCGAAGGCATGCCCTCAAGCCTGGGGAAAGAAAGGAACAGAGAAAAAGAGAGAGACACCTCCTTTGGGGTCTGCAGCCCTGCGTATAGCTACAGTCCAGGAGGCAAGAGCGGGGACCTTATGCTGTTCTAGTGCACTTTCTTCAGTTACCTTTTCCATCCCTTTCTTCCCAGCTCCGACTGTCCCGCTCGCCTCGACGAAGACTATAAAGTACTAAGTGTATTGGAACTCTATGTATGATTTGCAGGTCTTGCTTGATTCGAAGGACACGTAGGCGATAAACGAATACAGCAAACATTTTCAGATTTTCGAATTTTCCAATCAAATTTTGGACCAATAAAGACCCTGGCCAATCCCGGCCGTCGCCAGCCAGGATTCTATAAAGTTTTTGAATTAGTCAATTTTTTGAAAACATATAGAGATGTTCCAAAAATTTCAACTTTCCAAATATTGACCTAAGAAGGAAAAATATTGAAATTTGTGAAATTTTGGAGCAAATAAAGACCCTGGCCAGGCCCGGCTCTCAGTTTGAAATTCTTGAAATTTTGAAGAATAAAAACACATGTGTTTCCAAAGTTCCAACCTTTTTTATATATTCTATAAGTCAGTTCTTGAAGTTTCAGAAAATATTGAAATGCTTGCCTTCATGTCTTCAATAATTTCAATAATTTCAAGAATCCTGGCTGGCGACAGCCGGGTCTTGCCAGGGTCTTTATTTGCTCCGAGATTTCACAAATTTCAGTATTTTTCCTTTTAGGTCAATATTTGGAAAACTGAAGTTTTTGGAACATATCTTTCAAAAAAATCAATAATTCGCGCTATTTTTTCTCAAAATTTCAAAGCATTCAGTAAGTTCAAAAGTTTAAAGAATTCTGGCTGCCTACGGCCGAGCCTGGTCAGGGGCTTAATTCTTGCTACAATTTCGACAGTTTCCCTGTCGAGAATCGCTCGGACAAGGGTCTTTACTTGTTCAGCAAGCGTTACTTCTTTACATGTGAGACCCGCTAGAACATACGGAACATAACCATCATTGAAATGTCGCAAATCGTTAACGAAAGCTAGTGGAGCTCTGTCCTCTCTTGCCAGTGTATTTCTTCCTCTACTGAGAGGCAAGCGAGCTCTGTTCTAGAAAGAAGCTGCCTGTCTTCTCTTTCCAGATTCCAAGAGTAACTTGGATTGAGTTTTCTGATTGTTTCAGAGGATGAGGTGGAGGGCTTGGCTTTGCCCTTGGAAGGTCGCAGGGAGTACCAGACTTCTTTTGTCAAGGTTTGAAGTTTGGAAGAGCCCCACCCTTTCTTTTTGATTAAGCTCTTTTTGATGTACTGAAGAGGAAAAGGAGATGGTCCGGAGCTCTCGCCCCTGACTGAGGGAGAAAGGGGTCTCTTCTTGTCGACAGAGAGGCAAGAAAAAAGTTTCTCGAGAAGCTAGAGGGGCCTGTAGACTGTCTTCTGAGTTGTCGGGGTAGGGGATCTGCCACGGGATCTCCTCCGTTACCAAGAGGTAAAGGAAAAGCCTTCTTCTTCTTCTTTATGAAATTGGAGGGAGCTTTCTTTTGGTTTTCGATGATTAGGTAGAGAACTCATACATTGTCGGGGGGGCGTTTCTGTCCTGTCTGACTTGGAATGAGGTCTTCTCAAAATTGACAAGCGACTGAAAAAGAGGTAATGGAGCTCGCTCTTCAAAGAACTTCTCTCCTCTTACCATGAAAATCTTGGGGGGGAGCTCTCCGTTGGTTTTAAAGCATGGAGGTGGACGAGGTCTGTTTCTTGTTCAAGGTTGAGGGGAGGGCCAGACCTCTTTGTTTGAAGGGCTCCACCCTTTCTTTGAGCGTGTGCTGTTTTCGTCTTTTGAAAAGGTAGAGGGGGTAGTCAGGTCCTCCTTCCAAAGAAAGAGGTCTCTCCTTGCCGACTGAGGGGTAAACGGAGCTCTCTTTTTTCGATATCTTGGAGGTGCTTGTCTGTTGAATTGAGATGGAGCTTTGTTCTGTCTCATTATATAGATTGGAGGAAGCTCTCAGTCTCTTCTGTCTTTTCCTGTCGAGGATGAGGCTTTTCTGTTTGGAAGCTAGTGGAGCTCTGTCCTCTCTTGCAAGTGTATCTCTTCCCCTACTGAGAGGCAAGCGAGCTTTGTTCTAGAAAGAAGCTGCCTGTCTTCTCTTTGCAAGAGTAACTTGGATTGAGTTCTCTGCTTGTTTCAGAGGATGAGGTAGAGGGCTTCGCTTTGCCTTTGGAAGGCTGCAGGGGAGGACCAGACTTTTCTTGTCCAGGTTTGCAGTTTGGAAGAGCCCCACCGTTTCTTCTTGATTAAGTTCTTCTTGATGTATTGGAAAGGAGGAGAGATGGTCCGGAGCTCTCGCCCCTGACTAGGAGAGAAAGGAGTCTTCTTGTTGTCGACAGAGAGGTAGACCGAGCGCTCTTGTTTTTCGAGAAGTTAGAGGGGCCTGTCTTCTGAATTGTTGGGGTAGAGGACCTGCCACGGGATTTTTCCTTTACCAAGAGGTTTTTTGGAGCAGCTTTCTTTTTCTGTCGAAATGGGAGAACGCTTTCTTCCTGTTTTCGATGATTCGGTCCTGGTAGAGAACTCATACATTGTTGGGGCGGGAGGGGGTTGTTTCTGTCTTCTTTGGCTAGGAGTGACAGGAGCGAGGTCTCTCAGTCTATTTCAAGACTGAGAAGCGACTTGCCAAAAGGTAATGGGTCTTTCTTCTAGAAAGAAGCTCTCTTGTCTTACCACGAAAATCTGGGTCAGGAGCTCTCTTCTTGTTTAGAGCCTGACGTGGAGGAGTTTTCAAGGTTGAGAGACGGACCAGATTTTTTTGTTTGAAGGTTGGGTGGGAGCTGGGAGCTCCACCATGTCTTTTGTTCACTTCCATATTTTGCAACGGCAGAAGGGATAGTCAGGATCTCCTTCTCGAACGTGTGGAGAAGCTTGGTCTCTTCTTGCCGACTGAGGGGTAAGCGGAGCTCTCTTCTTTCTCGATAATTTTGTGGGATCTGGCTTTCATTTTTTAGATGGAGCTTTCTGCTGTCTCATCCGATTGGAGGAAGCTCTCAGTCTCTTCTTGTCGAGGATGAGGTAGAAGGCTTTTCCTTTTTTCCTTGGAAGTTAGGGGAGCTCCGGTAAGCTCCCTTCCCGCTTTTGAAGAGGAAGAAGAGATAGTCAGGAGCTCTCTTAATTCCCTTGCCAAAAGAGAAAGGAGGCCTCTTCTTGCCGACTGAGGGATAAGTGGAGCGCTGTTCGCTTTCGCGAAGTTGGAGGGGCTTGTGCGCTAATTTGAGATGGGGCCCTCGTCTGTCGGTTGGAGGAAACTCTCTTCTAGTCGAGGATGAGGTGCAGAACTTATGCGTTGCTTTTGAATATTGGGGGAGTTCTGTCCATGTTTTCAGGGGCGGCTCTCTTCAATTTTCGTGGGATTAAGATGAAGACTTGCCAAGAGATAAGAGCTTTCTTCTAGAAAGAAGCTGTCTTCTCTTACCAAGAGTAACTTGGATTGAGTTCTCTGTTTGTTTCAGAGGATAAGGTACAAGGCTGCTCATTGCCCTGTGAAAGCCGCAGGGGGAACCGACTTCTCTTGTCAACATTTGAAGTTTGGAAAAGCTCCGCGTCCTTTTTTTGATCGTGCGCTTTTTTCCATGTGTTGAAAAGGAGAGGAGACGATGAAATCCGAATCGCAGACCACGCCGCGGATATGAAAGCAGATACAACAAGTTGCGCGATCATCAGAGATATCTGACGAGGGTGTGAGAGCTTGTGTTGCCATGCGCTACTCGACGAACCGCTCCAGAGGTCTAGGCACAGTCTGTAATAACATGTCAAAATCTCTTCGTTGCCTTACCGGCCTTGAGAACCGTATCATCGGAGGTCCGCTTCGCCGGGTGCAGTCTGTGCTGGCATGCCGGAAACGAGATGCACATCTTACTTTGACAGCAGCATTATCATTCCCCACAGCATTCGCGGCCTGGATCTGTCACCGCGTGACAAAGCCAACATGGCATCTTGCTGTGTTGCGATCGATTGTTGATTCAAGCGCTAGTTAAACTCACGGCGGTTTGATGGACGGTGCCCGCAAAACAGCCTCCAGAGTGGGAAGGAACTAAGGTTGACCCAACAGAACCCACGTATTATACCTAAAGGTCCGTGCCACAAAGTACTAAAGCCATGCTTCAGGGTCCGGGGATGCCTGTCAAGGTGCGCGAACCTTCACGTGAGGGGGGCCGGGACGCTGCCCTTCCTCTTCACCTCACAGAAAGAAAGAGAGAGGTAGCTCCCTCCCCTTCACCCTTTCGAAAGAAGGACGGAGAAAGCAATCAGGGCATCTAGCACATGCTGGCGGGTCATGCTTGAATTATCCCGGTCTCCAATGCACTTCACATGTTGCAGGGGGTGACGAGAACGAGAGAAATTGCGTTCTCAGGCATTGCCACCTCATGGGCATTCATCCGAAGTCCGGGCAGAGGCGGCAGGGTGTGACATACGTCTGATGATACATTCTGCTCTTGCTCGTTGACTGTCGCAACGAGTTTCTGCAGGTGTGCTTTCGTGTACTACAAGACGCAGGAGTCTGCGCAGGACTAATGCATGTGCATTGAAATTTTGCAATTCTGGACGGGGGAGACTGTTTTGCGGCAGCAACCTTCCTGACTTGAGGGAAAAAGGGAAGATGGAAATCTCTCCTGCAGGACGCCATCAAGGTTTTAGACAAGATCTACAAGATCAGAGAAAATGCCCCCCACCCCATTCAGGCCGGGCACCAGCTTGAGCGAGGCTCACGCGGAGACACGCTCACCTGAGCGCCCTACCCTGCAAGAGTTTCTGAAGGTCCGATGGGCGAACAAAGACAGCCTGAAGTCCGCTCTCGGCCACGAGCTCACTAGTGCAAGCCCGTCTTTCCCACCAGGAGCATGCCCTGAACTTGCCCTTGTCTGCCGCATTCCCGCACACTGCAGGGGACATCAAGGGAGTCGGGAAGGGCGATTGGCCTACAAGCCAACGACCAGACTGGGCAAATAGTTCCAGCCTCAGTGGCGGCAAGGGGGCAGAGATGAATGCAAGATGCATCTCCCTGCAAGGCTTAGGCGGGCATCAGCATGCCGATCATGCCAGTGCCGGGGAGTGGATCAGTGCGAGCGTGCCCTCAGGCAAGGGTGATGATTACTGGACCAAAGGCAGAGGTGACTACTACGGGAAAGGCTTTGGCCTCACATGTGACTGATTCTTGCTTTGATATGCCACTGTATCGTTGTAAAGGCGCATGGATTGGCAAGGGCAAGGAGGGCAAGGAGAAGGCAGCTTTTTTCGAGATCTCTGTGAGGCTTGAGACCAGCTCCTCTGTCAGGGGAAGTCCTGGACCAGCTGGGAGGCCGTATCTTACGCCCACGCCCCTCCCCCCCTCCCCCGGTCCCGCCCCATTATCTCAGAGTCCAGGACACATCTTGGAGCTCTTGGCCTCAGGGCAAGGTTCGGCCGCCTGTGGTGAATGCAAGGGGCTTTAGGCTTTAGCGAAGTGTTGAGCCGGCCATGGAGTGGGACTTACGGGTTGTGCTTTCGCAAGCTTGCTATAGCGTTGTCGGCTTCTGGAGACGAAGGTTGACTCGGTCGGATGTTTCTAGCTCTTCTTCAGCTATGTACATGTGTGTGTGCCGGCTGAAGAGCAATACTGCAATACGGAGAAGCAGTTTTTTCTGCAGATGGGTTTCCTTACGGATTCTTGTTTGGACAGCGGCTTTATGGTTGCCACGCACGCTCGGAACCACACATCGCAGGAAGCAGAATTGGAAGCAGAAAACAAGTCCTTTCCGGATGAAGCGAAGCACAGCTCCTGCAAAATCAATGCCTGGCAACACGGTTTTCATAACCATGTTCAGAACTCTCTCTCTCTCTCTGTCTCTCGGTTTGGTTTGGGGTTCATCGCCTCTTGTATGTTGCATCTGCAAGGAGAAGGGGTGGTACGACTGGGGCAAAGGTTGGGACAAAGGAGGTGGCCATGCCCTTGGTTGCGACTACAGATGTCAATACTTAATTCTAGGCATTGGCTGCTTGACATTCCTTGGCTTAGGTTGGGGTGGAAGTTGGGATCGCAGCAAAGGCAGCTGGCAAGGCCAGTTCAGGGCGTGTCGAGGGTCCGACCGTCCTCTGGTGTGGCCTGTGCGGTTCTACCAAGCTGATCGAAGGGGGCACTCGCCAGAACTGTAAGAAACAACAGCGCGCAAACCATTTGCTTGCAGGTGATGCCTGGCTAGATGATGGCTGGAGTCAGCACCCATGCATACTGTCTACCTTCTTGTCACGCGTGTCCTGCCGTGGTGCACCTCTGCCTGGCTCGCAAGCAGCCCACAGCAGAGCGTGCGCACATTGCGAGGTCATCACAACGGCCATGGCAAGGGGAGAGATGGAGCCTGGAAAGGAATCGCGCTCGGCCTTTCACCACTTCCGCGCATTCTCGGTAGACTCGTATGGCCGACGAGAAATGTTAAGCTGTCATGACATCACAAATCTGAGGCACCCGGCAAGAGCCCAGTCCGCCCCTGATGACATGTTTGTTGCGCTTCAGTGGTTTTTGCCGGCAAAGCTTCAACAAACCCTTTTCAGAACTTCTTCTTGTTCAGTGTCTGCTGCGGTTGCTCATCCAGCCCGCACCGTTGGAAGTAGACATGATTGGGGGAACAGAAGCCCCGCTCCGTTCCAGCAGCTTTCAGCTGTTTTCATGTACCCCCGATGAATAAATCGGGTTCGGTGGATGCACGAGCACAGCGGGATCGGTGGGTTTGTCGTTAATGCTGCAAGCATGCCAGGGTGTTTGCATACGGGCCGCATTGACGCGCACAAGAGACGGGGCAAACACAATGTGTACTGTGTTGTTCGAAGCTGTTAGAACACAGCGAGCGCAGAAAAGAAACTTCTCAAGACCCGAATCCGAAGAGTTCTGAGTGCTCAGGATTAGATCCCACAGGCACCAAGCTGTACGTGGCCAACCTCCCGGAAGACATCCAGGACCTTTCTCGGCCGGTTCTTTTGAAAGCTCCAGTATGATTGTGCCTCCCTTGCACAGTTCGTGTTGTGAGCCATTGGCCTCATATAAAAACTAAAGTCTAGCGTAGCTTGTCGTGCTAGCGAACTACTGGCGGCTCCCCAGAGCTCATGTTGTTTGCTTTATTAATGCACTTTGATGTGGCCGCAATCTCAGAAGAACAGCGCCGGAGTTCGTGAATTGTTGCTCATGGAGAGGGACTAGTGGCCCGGTGTCGATGTTCCGTTACAAAAACTAGCGCGATACGCACATCGCATTGTTCGGAAGGTCCATTTTTGCTGTCCTTCGAAGGAGAGCGCGATCGAGTATGTCTTTGGCACTTATGGTACGGATGCGGCCTCAGATCCGGGACACAGTCGGTGGGATCAGGGTCAAGGAGTCAGGAGTAGATCTGCTGGGTTCTGAGAAATCAGAATACCAGTTTTAAGTTGGGATTGGGCTTCGAGGTCGAGAAAGTGCATCTCATGACCGGCAAGGTGAAGCAAGGAAGTGACAGCCCCAGCGATGTGTGCAAGTCAGAGAGGAGAAGCCGAACGCCTCGCAAAGCAGAGCTTGCGTGATTTCCCAAGTGCGCGATTTTGTTCGGCTTCTGTCCGAGTCCGAGGTATATCGGCCTTTGTGGAGTACGGCGACTCTGAGGAGGCCCCAATTAATGCGTCGTGGGCTCGAAGCATTGCAAAAAGATGCTTAGATGATTGACTAAGCGGCTACGCTCTCATCTCAGTCGGCACTTCGGGTAGATTGATCGCATCTGGTTCACCGCCGCAGGCAAGCACCGCAATTATGTCCTTGGACAACAAGCACCTTGATGGAGAAAGTTGTGTTGCGTCCTACACGGAATCTGTAGAAGCACATTTAGCCACGTCGACGGCCCCTGGAAGACACTGCATCAGGTACGAAATTAGAAAAGGGTACGGGCAGGGACCTCAGAAAAGCAATGGCTAATGCACAGGCTGCTCGGGAAGGACCGGTGGCTTGCGTGTCTCAAACACTTTACAGAACATGTCTTGCAGGCCTCTTCAGGTCCGGCTAGCCAATGCTCCTGCCTCATCTGGCAAGGGCAAGTCTTATCGCGCGCGCCCAGACGGCAAATCAGAGATCACTTCAGATGCAGATCTGTTCACTTCAGCCATCAGCAGATGTCGACCACGTCTCAGGCAATGTCATGTCTGGGAATAATTTTTTAGAAGTGGTCGAGTGGGATTAGAATTAGAACATGTTCCTGCCATGACGCCTGCATTGCTGTGCCAATGCCATGGCCAGATGCCAAGGTGACGGAGCAGAAGCTTTGCAAGCTCCTTGGCTCTCTGATTTTCACACTACAACAGCAGCTGCGCCTCAGATACTGATGAAGCATGGGAGCATCGCATCAAGCACGCTATACAGGCGGCCCCTGCTGAAGAAAGTGCAAGATGTCCACGTGCGGGCATTCATCGCTCCTTGCTCTGTTGTGTCG